TGCAGCAAGCCAGGCCCCAGGTAAGCCCCAGCCTGCCTGCACAGTGTAGAGGAAAGATGAGCAGCCGCAAAACTTATGTTTTCTCTGTTAAAAAAGGCGAGGAGGGGGGCGGGATTTTAAAGTCTCAGAAGATCACGAAGCACTTGCTATTTTCTTCTTTGTGCATTTTCTCTTAAGGGTCTTCTTTGGAGATCGGCCTTGGCAACTTAGCAAGACATTGTCTCAAAAATGAAAACGGTGTGCACGTGGGTAGTTCAGTGATAGAGCACCCCTAGATTCCAGTACTCCCCTAACCCTAAATAGCAAGCATCCCCAGTAGTGGACAACCTGACATAAGAATCTTCCCAAAGTGAGGGAATGACAAACACTCATCTACCTCCGGCCAAAAGTGTTTAATCTGGATTTAATCACACAGGAAACAATCAGGCAAGTGGAGTGTGTGGACTCTAGGAGAGCTGGCCCAGACCCTCAGGTGAACAGGCAAACAGAGGGCAGGGGACTGTTTAGATGGAGGAAAGAGATAAACAACAAACACGGCTGGGAACCTTGGCTGTGCCCCGGGTTAGGGAGAAACAGCTTTCAAAGCTATTTTAAGGGCAACTGGAGAGGGGTGGAGCCCAGCTCAGTGGGGGGGCGGGGAGCTGGCCTAGCGTGCACCAGGCTCTGGGCTGCACCAAACTGCTGAGAATAAAAAATAGAACTAAAAGCAACTGGAGAAGTTGAGGTCTGAGCTAGATGGGAGGCATCACATTGCATCGGACCAGTTTTTGAGGTATAATAATGGTGTCTTCCTTAAGTTCTGATTCTTGGGAGATGTGGACGGGGGTCTTCAGGGGTACAGAATCGGGGGTCTCCCCCTTACTACCCTCAGCCCTGCCTGGCCAGAGCCCTCTCAGGCTGATGGCTGCACTCCACCATCTGGAGTGTGCACCAGACCCGCCCTGACCCGCCTGGGCGGAGTGTGCACCTTAACTGGTCACCTCGCTGCTCTGGGCAGGGGGAGGCCGGTGGGGTGCTGCACGGAAGGCACTGGGGCCGGAGACATAAACCGAGTGACGAGGCAGGACATAGCAATAAGCAAAGCAGGCAAAAGCAATACTGATCAAAACACTGGTGACGAGGAATGGCACAGTGTGCAGTGCGAGCACCCACCCATGCACGAAGCATGGTCAGCTTCCTGAAACACCACCTGGCAGTGCCGGCCCCATCCTCAACACAGACCCTTGGGCTAAGTTATTCCAGTGCTTTGAATTTAACCTAAAGAATAATACATAGATGTAACAACAAATGCTTAAAGAATGAGGTCACTGAAAAATTAGTCAATGGCATAAAATTCACAAAGTCACGTTGAGTGGAAAAAAATACACTATCACACAGAGGAAGAGGCGGGAGGCCCAGGGAGCCCTGCCCAGGGAGCTGCTGGGAGGCAGGCGAGGGGTGGGGTCTCTTGTCGTTCATGGCTTTCCTCATTTTCAGTCACTATGCTTTCCTAACAGTGCTTCCATCATGTTCTTAAAGATCATGCGACATCATAAAAAGTGCTCAAGACATATGCAGCCTCCAGCTGGGGATGTCACCTAGGGACGTGGGGCTGAGGAGGAGGATGGCGGGTGGAGGCCAGCCTGGGCAACTCGGAAGACCCTCGCAGAATAGACTAAAAGGGCCGGGTGTCGCTCAGTGGCAGAGCGTTTGCCTATCACGCTGGGGCCCTGGGCTCAATCCCAGCACCACCAAAAAGAAAAAAAAAGAAAGAAAAGAAAAGAAAAAAATGACTGCATATATACCGATTTCTATTTTATGAATTTGGGGTTTTTATGGTGAACAGGAAAGTCTACAATCAGAAAAACTATTCTTTAATCTGCTCTGTGAAGGAAATGCACAGGCAGCTGCTAAAAAGAACCAGAAAGAGCTGTATGGGCTGGGACGGCGGGCTGCAGCCCCAGGTGTGGTGAGACACACCCTGACTTGTACAGTCTGTCTATCTGAAGACCTTTGGACCCAGAGAAAACACTCACCATGCATGCACTTGGGACATTAAATACTGGTTATATAAATTGAAGAGACAGGCATGGTGGCTCACGCCTGTAATCTCAGCTACTTGGGAGGCTGAGGCGGGAGGATGGCAAGTTTGAGGCCAGCCTCAGCATCTTAGCAAGACTCTGCCTCTAACTAAGAAACAAAATAAAAAGGGCTGGGGAAGTAGCTCAGTGGAAGAACACCCCAATACTGAAAACACACACATACACACTCACACACACACACACACACACACACACACACACTATGGGATTAGAGAGCAAATAAAATCCTTTGATTTCACTTTTTATTTTATGTGCTTCTGTATAGTCTGGATGTTTTTATAACATGCATTACAGTTTTAAAGACTGATATATAATTAGTAATTAATACTTTATCTTTAGAGCAGTTTTAGGTTTATAGGAAAGTCAAGCAGAAATCAGTTTCCATATAATTTCTCTTGGGTTTTCTTTTTGTAACTGGGATTGAACCCGGGTCACTTACTCCTGAGCCACGTCCCCAGCCCATTTTATATTTTATTTAGAGACAGGGTCTTGATCAGTGGCTTAGGGCCTCTCTAAGTTGCTGAGGCTGGCTTAGAACTTGCAGTCTTCCTGCCTCCCCCTCCCGAGCCTCTGGATTCCAGGTGTGCACCGCTGCACCCAGCCATATAACGTATGTTTTAAAACCCCAAATCAGCAAAACATATTTCCTAGATGAAACATCATCGTCAACAGTGCCCACGGCAGAAGTGCCACTCACACCCAGCAGCACCCCCTGAACCTGCTGCTCGTCCCACCAGGAGAGGGCACACTCCCCGCCCTTGAACCTGGGCTGGCTCTGCTTTGATGGAGACATGGTGAAAGGAGCCTGGGAAAGGAGCTACCGCCAGCCTCCCTTCCATCCTGGGGCAGAAACCGCGTCAGATCTGCCCAGGGGAGGAAACCCTCTGCGGGCGGTGCCAGGTGTAGCAGTGGTCGAAACAGAACTGCCGGGAACTGGCCCGGGCCCTCTTGTCTGGAAATGTGGGCAGCGCGGTGTGCAGAACCCTGCTGCTGGAGTCCAGGAGAGGGCGCGCAGAACTAAAAACCACTGCGGGGACGTCAGGCCAGATGTGGCATTCACACTGCTGGGCGATGTTCACCACAGTCCTGCTGAGGCCCAGCTGCGGGGAGACGGCTCTCTGAACAGCCCCAAGGAGCAAGGAGAAAGGGGACCCACGGGCACTTACCCGATGGTGGGGCTGATGTTGTGGTCGAAGTGGTCCTGCACGAACCGGCACACGATGCTCGACTTCCCGACGCCGGTGTCCTAGGAGAGAAGGGAGGCTGCCATGAGGACCCAGGGGTCAACGCCCACCTGACACAGCCAGCCCAGCCGCCACCGGGGAGGGGCCGACTGCCTCCACCTCTTACCAGTGTTTCCTGATAGTGCAATTGTGTTGCTCTCACAGGAAGAAGAGAAATGGGGTGAAAACGAGCGTGAGGACCGCGTCTCACGTACGAGCCACGGTCAGCCTCCAACGAGCATTTCACAGACACGGATAGCTAGAAATGTGAGAATTTGGGGAGTGGTCTAAAGAAGATGTATGGCAACACGATGTGTTGGTAGAAACAACTGGTTTTGTTCAGAGTCTTGAAAGAAAGAAAGAGGACAGGAAGAGAGAGAGAGAAAGGGAGGGAGGGAGGCAGAAAGAAGAAAGGAAGAAAGAAAGAGAAAGACAGACAGGCTGGGTTGGGGCTCGTGTCAGAGCGCCCGCCTCTCACATGTGAGACACTGGGTTTGATCCTCAGCACCATAAAAATAATAAGTAAAGATACTGTGTCCATCTACTACTAAAAAAGTTTTTTAAAAAGAGAGGAAGAAAGAAAGGGGTAAAATAAAAGCCACCGTCTGCTTCCCCGGAGTCGCCCTGTAACACCTTGAATGCTGATTTCTACATGTCTGATGCTTTCTCTCTCAAATCTGATGTCTGGATTGTAGCCTCCAGTGGTACTTAATTCTAGAAAGGTCTCGACTCAGCTCTTCCTCTGCTAAACGATTCTTGAAAGCTGACTGGCTCAGGTGTCCAGTTACACATGGCAAATTAAATACACAGTGTTTGTCTCCAGTCCCCTCCTGAACCACTGTAAGGCAGTCTAAGAAATCAGAGTCAGACTCACAAGGTCAGAGAGATAGGACTAAGGACAACCCCAGACCGGGGACATCAACAAAACCCAGGAGGATGAGCGGCGCCCGAGAAAGAAGCTGCCACTCAGGTGCCCGCAGGGAGGGAGGCTGGGTATGCAGGCCAGGTCATGCCAGGGAACAGCCTGCAATCCAGGAGGAAATGGAGGTCCCCCTGCAGGACCCTGGGGCTTGGGGACTTGGGCACAGCAAACACAGAGGCCACACACTATTCGCCTATTATGTGAGCCCAGGAAGGTCTCCCTCCAGTGACACCAAAAAGCCCCACAAATTCTGATATTGGGGTCCCTCAACGAAAGGTCCTGTGTGCACCATCCACAAGCCCCAGGATCGAGCTTCCAATTTGCATTTTAATCTTTTTAAAAGAAACACTAAGAAAACCCAGACGTTGATACCCACCAACAAAAGAGCAGGACGCTGTCTTGAAAGATCTGAGAATAAGAGCAACTTCTTAGAAATCAAAAGTGAAGACACTCGAAATTGAAAGGACGGCGAAGGAGTTAGGAGACAAAGTCAGAACAGTGCCCAGAAAGTGGAACAAGGTCAACAAAGCAGACGCCCTGGTTGGTAAGCACTGCTCTGCCGAGGCAGCGAGGCAGGGGACGCCAGGTTCAGACTGGACAGAGAGCTGGGTGGCAGCTCTTATCTCAAAGGACCATGAGACCTTTCCCGGTCTATGAGGATCAAACCCAGTGCCTCACAAGGGCAAAGATGGCCACCCGGTTCTCTCATATTGAAGGTGGAAGTGGCAAAGTCAGAAGATTGAGGAGACGATGCTGCCGCTTCAGGGAAAGGTGTTTTTCTTCAGACACTGATATATGAAATGCCAGCAGCAACCTGAATCTTCTATGTTCCCTCCCACTCCTCTGTTTGGGGGGCCATTCCAGCAAGCCTGGAGCAAGGAAGACCTGGGCTGGCGCCCTCATCAGACAATCCTGTCAGAGGGCTGTCCCCAGGAGGGGCTGCCTGCTGGGAGTCCCCCCAGCACAGAGCCAGGCTCTCCCTCTGCAGCGTGGGGATGCGTGCGCAGGGCTCAGGGGCGGACAGCAGCAGCTCACGGATCCCACCCAATACCTTCATAGGGATCCGGCTTCTGTTCCCTCTCCAGCCTTCAGACACAACTCAGTTCTTTCCATCTCCGTGGCTTTTAAGCCCCCCTGTGGACAAGTGTGTCCTTGCCCTCCTTTGTCCACCCCTGAGAAATGGATAAGGTGGTGCTGCCTGCTGCCCTGAGGATCAGGAAACACCCTTGGGCCAGCCTCTTCCAGGAAGCCAACTGCTTCCTACAGACAGCCATGGGTGTGGCGGGGGGGTGGCCCTGCCGAGCTGACCACGCTCATTTCTGTTCCCCTCCACCACAGTTCAGGGATTCTCAGGGCGCCTCCGTCCGTCCATCATCATTCGTTCACCCCTATTCTCGCCCACCTGCTGCACAACCACAGCGGGCTACAGCCCATGGTGGAAGATCAGGGCCCCTTCCCTGGAGGGTCTCAGAACAGTGCTGGGTGCCCAGCAGGGTGCGTGCCAGCAGAGGCGGGGCAGGACTGTAGTCCACTCAGTCACCAGGGCCCAGGAGCCAGCTCCTCACCCCTCATGCTGCTGCTATTCAGCTCACACCGGCCACCTGCTGCCACGCCAACAAACTGCGCTCCGGAAGGCCACTAGACCCCCTCCTTGAAGCTCTGGGCAGCAGCTCTCCATGCTCTCATGGCCCTGGGTGCACCGGGCTTTGACAGAGGCTGCTCTGAGAAGCCCAGCTACCCAAAGGTTCTGCTCCAAACAACTGGCCCCAAGTCCCCAAAGCAGCCCCAAAGAAGCCTGCAAGTCCACCCTCAACCTGCCCTTCTTGGTGAAAACTAAAAAGCCACATGACAATTATGTGACTCTCTTCTCGCCTTATGCATGGCTCACGCCAAAACGCCAGCTTCTCTGGATAGTTAGAGCAGCAGATTGTTTGACAACTCAACTCTCAGTGTTTCTCCTTCTTATACATCTTATAGGATTCACAGGACAAAAGGGATAGGGGAATTTTTAGTTTGTCTCTGTAAAGGAAATCTTACAAAGAACAGCAGCAAAGGGTCCTCTCTGGCCAGTGCTTTTGTGACAGGGGAAGTGGCTGCAGGCGGGGAACCTGCCTGGCATCCTTCTTCCAGGACAGCTGCTGTTCCCCAGATGGCCACCAGGGGAAGCCCTGCCCACGTCAGGCCTGCAGAGCAGGAGGCTCGCCCAGCACCGGGCTTCTTTTCCCTGCTGAAGCCTCGCTGGACTGTGTCACACAGGGAGAGCTGGCCCCGTGAGTCACAGCACTTCACATGGAAACAGAATGGGAACAGGAAGCAGAACTGACAGTCCACTAAGAAGAGAGGAGGACAGGGCAGAGTCCTGGTGGCCCACCAGCCCCAAAGGCGACTGTATGTTTAGTGGACTTAGCCAGATGGAAGTGTTTCCATGTGTGACTTTTCCGTCTTGTAAGACTGAGGCTATGGTGGCCCGTCTCATGCCATCCTCTGCGATGGCTTTGCAAAGGAGGAGGCTGAGGGCCTTCCTCAAGCTCACAAGCCTGGCCAGAAGTCAGAATCAAATGTTTCCAGCCCCGTCCTCTCAAGCCTCTCACCAGTTAAATCCACCTCCCACGAAGACAGAATTTCCTTTAGAGATAAAAGGTCGTTCCTAGAGGTCACAGGACTACTTTCATCATTGCTTTCTAGTTACACCTTGCTTAACTCCAATTACTCACTCAAGTTTGCAAGATGCAACTGCTGTTATCTTGACAGTAATGAAAGGGAATGAGAATAAAGCCAGTTCTGAGTCCACCACCTGGAATAAGGTTCAGGTTCAGTGACACCGCCCCCACCACGCCATCCGTACTTCACTGTGTGCCTGAGGCCAGCTGGTTCCATCAGCTTACTGGGAAAGGGACCTCTCACATGACGTCCCTCCATAATGCAGCCCTCTGGGAACAACCACTTATTCTGAGACAGGGATCTCCACCATGTGAACTGTCACATTTAGTAATCACATGCAAACCTATAATTATGAAATGAGGAACCACAAACTTTTAGCTGATGGTCTTACTCTAGGCACCCCAACCTGTAAAACCAAGCCGAACACTCCCCTCATCCCTGGATTGCTGCAATGGCCTTCAATTTTCCTACAACAGGAGAGAATGGCAACTCCAGCAAACATCTCACCATGACCGACTCCTACTCTCACGGCAGACATCACTAGTCAATTCCACACCACATCTCACCGAACCTAAAAAGGTCCTCAACATCTCTTCACCGCAGCTCTACAGGGAATCAGTATGATGTGGTGGAGGCGGCACTGAGAAGCAACTGCTATCCTCCCTGGTCACCCTGACCTTCCAACACACCCCTGCACTCCAAACTCAAAAAGCCCCGCTCTGCAGACGCTGTAGAGATCTTTATGAGTGGTAAGGTGCTGTGGGAAGCTTGCAAGAAATGTACATTGTTAATAATACTATAAATCAACATGTCTCTTATGCAAAGGAAATTATAAAATGTTAACAAGACCTATAGGTCCAGGAATTCCATTCCTAAGAATGCAGCTAAAGGAAGAAAACGATCAGTAGCTGGAAATCAGCTCGGTGCTGAGCACTTGCCTCCCATGACCGAGGCCTTGGGTTCAACTCCCAGCACAGCAAGGAAAAGAAAAAAATCTGGGTTCCATCCCTAGACAAGGAGGAGGATCAGGGGAAACAGCATGACATCACTGCAGTAGCTGTGCCCGGTGGCACACGTTGGTAATCCCAGCAAACTCGGGAGCCTGAGGCAGGAGGCTCACAAATTTGAGGCCAGCCTCAGCAACTTAGCAAGACCCTTGGCAACTTGGCAAAACCCTGTCTTCAAATTAAAAATGAATCCCTCCCCAAAATTCACTGCAGTACAATTTATAAAAATAAGAAGTGACACCGCCCTAAAAATTAACTATGTGTGAGATGAATTACAGCATTTACAGTAATCTTCTAAACTTTGATCTTATTCCTTCCAAAATGTTAAGGAGGCAGAATATATGATTTCTCCATTGTGTACTGATTGATGTCTCTCGACTTACGACGGGGTGGGTGTCCTGATAACTCTCCTAAGCTGAGAGTGCAGAATGCC